TTAGATTATTCATTCTGGACAATGTTCTAATAAAGAACGAAACGTAGAGTCAATTATGGCCTCAAGTCTGTCATCGTTCAGAGTTACCATACTCATATTCTAAATTGTGTTTTAGAGTTAGCATTAATGATATTTTGTACTTGGTTTTTCCCATTGTTTTGCAGCTCACTTTTCTCTGACTGAAACTCAGTTCCTGGCAAGTTGCGGAGATCATGTAATTAAGGCAGCTTCCACATCCAATTCTTTATTTGTACTCTATGAAATAGAGACAGAATATATGAAGAACTTTGACTAGTATCGAATAGCCTTGCTTGAAGCTGTTGCAGCATCCAAAAGAAAATCTACAGCTACCTTCCTGTTTGGTAACAAATCCATGCTGCGTTCATAACAAAATGGAAGACTTGCAAGTCATAATGGCCGTATTTGACTGGTCGTTCTTCATTAAACCACGCCCACTTGAGCAGTGGTAATATCCTACTTAACGAAGAAGACCTTTTGAATATAAAACTGGTAAATACTCAACAAAACAAAAAGGCTACATAGTTATCCCAATGATACATCATGCATAATCAAGGTTTAAAAAAAAAATAAATGTTTTCATCCAGTTTTTAAATTCTGTTAGCCTATAATTATTTTTTGACTTCATGTGCGTAAATGTTAAAATTTTTAATTTCTGAAATTTAATCTAAATTATATTAATGCAGAGTTGTTGCTAAACCAATTGGCCATGTTTGTTTTGGTCACGCGAATAATGCTAATTAACACACACTGGTTTACATTAATTTTATATCTATTTTACAAACCAGTAGAATGGAAATAATACTCAACGAAAAATTGTAGTCAACAAAATGAACTAGTCAAATAAGCCCATTAACAATTTATGCAGGTGTTGTGTATGCTGTCAAAAACCAGGTTCAATAGCAATGGAATTGCTCCAGAGGAGGATGAGGGGTGGCAACATAACACTATACTCTCTAGCAGTCAGGGCCCAGCCAGAGGGGTGTTGAGGGGTTTTAACACTCTCTAAAATAAATCGAAATAAACAAAAAATCCCGATAATGTAGTAGTAAACGTAAAATATAGGCCTTTATGTATGATTTATGTATTGATTTATTATGATTTACAGAGGATCCCGGAGGTACTGTCCAACAGGCCCCCCCCCCCCTTAGAATAAACCAGAAATAATTGAAAGAAATGAATACTGTGAATTGTTAACATTCTTTCATTACGCCATCTTTATATGATTGTAAATTTTATTTTCATATGTAAGCCTATAATTCGGGATTAGAGCAAATTAAATCTCACTATATTCTAGCTCCTATTTTGTTTTCTTGAAAAATATGAAGTTATGAAGTTGAAGTTTGACTTAAAATCAAATAAATTTTTTTCAAAGTGAATAAATTTGTTATACCTTATAGTAATATTGCACAGTATATAAACAATAAAAGGAAAATAAGTGAGGGTGTTTTAGCCTGACTTTAGTAGTACAGTATTCTCAGATGCAGTGGAAGTGTTGAAAATACGGATAAACAAATAATTTGCCCTTGAAGAAAAAATAAAAACATGGTACTTGTTTTGTTTGTTTATGTATGCTCTTTGGATTCATTTAGGATGCTGTATAAAAGTAACAATTCAGAGACTAT